TCCAGGACCCGGGCGACCTGGCGCGGGTGGAGGCTTGCCAAGCCGTCTACTCGGCAGCCTCCTCCGCCCGGGTCAACTGGGTCAAGAGCTCTGGCCTGGTGGTCGGGGACGGGTGGCGGGCCGGCTCCCTCCCACCCGCGCTTCAGGCCATCAGGTGGAGCGCGGGTCCGCTGCTCTATCTGGGCGTTTATTTATCCGCCACGCATCCTTCTCCGCCGGAAAACTGGCAAGGTTTGGAGGCCAGGGTGGGTGAGCGGCTGCGGAGATGGACGGGACTGCTCCGGTGTCTCTCCCTTCGCGGGAGAGCGCTGGTACTCAATCAGCTGGTCCTGTCCATGCTCTGGCACCGGCTCAACACCCTGCGCCCGGCCCCGGAGGTCCTGGCCAAGCTCCAGAGGGCAGCTTTGGGGTTCTTTTGGCCAGGACTGCACTGGGTCTCTGCAGGGGTCCTGTCCCTCCCCCTGGAGGAGGGGGGTCAGGGCCTGGTCTGCATACGCAGCCAGGTCCGGACCTTCCGCCTCCAGGCCCTGCAGAGACTCCTCTTTAGTGCAGGTAGTCCGGCATGGGGCACCTTGGCGCGCGCCTTCCTCCGCCGCCTCCGAGGGCTCCGATACAACCGGCAGCTCTTCTTTATCCACCCGAGGGGCCTTCTGCGAGACCTCTCAGAGCTGCCAGAATTCTACCAGGACCTCCTCCAGACCTGGAAGCTGTTCTCGGCGACCAGGTCCGTTGTGGCCTCCGAGGGGGCAGACCTCCTCGCGGAGCCCCTGCTCCACAATCCAGCCTTGTGCGTGCAGGTGGCGGAGTCTCCCTCGGTGCGCCGGAGGCTGATCCTGGCAGAAACCACCACGGTCGGAGACCTCCTGGACTACGACAGGGGGGACTGGGTGGATCCCCGAGCGCTCGCTCGGCGCATGGGGCTCTCCACCCCCCGAACCCCTCTGCGCCTACTCCAGGAGGTGAAAGCGGCTTTGCCGCGGCCCGCTCTCGACTTCCTGCAGCGGTCCTTGCGAGAGGGTACACCCCGCCCCTCCCCTCCTGCAAAGCCTCCGTCCCTGATTATTGGGCCCCTGTTCCACGGGCCCCCCCGGCCTCCCCACCCCTGGACCCCCAGCCGGCTGCAAAATCTGCAGCCGGTCTGTTTCCAAGC